AAAATGAATTATTTTATTTCAATTTACAATTATTTAATTAATTTTCTTATCAATTTATCAATAAACAAAAATTTTAACACTTACAATGCAATTTTATCAAAATTTTTATCAAATTTCATTTCTCAAATTTCAACTAATCTTTATTTCTTGTAATTTTCATCTTGATAAAAAAAAAAAAATTCTGATTATTATCAATAATAAATAGTTAGATTACAATAATTAAAATATATTAATTAATTTCTAAAAAAAAAAAAAAAATTAAAGAGAATAAAATTTTAGCTGAAAACATACTTGCAAATTTGATTTTCTGATATTATATTAGAAATATTCAACCATTGTTGTACTTTTTTAAATCGAAAATATTTGTTAATTGCATCACTTCTATAGCACTGATATGATGCGAACATATCTTTTGAATTCTAATTAAGTAATAATTAATATAATTTTAAATTTGAAAAAAAAAAGAGAAAAGAAAATTGAACAAAAGAAGAAAAAATATAAATGAAAAATTTAACAACTATATTTTAATTATTATAAAATAAATTTAAACACAATAAAATAAAATTGGAACAATTATAAACAAATGGATAAAAATTGATTAATGAATGTTAAATTATTTATCAATAATTGTTGATTATAATTTGAAATTTGTTGTTTAACCTTTTCAATTTGTTTGCTATTATAATCAGTATCAATTAGATTATCATTACAACTATGATAAGCATTTAATGATAGATTCCTGTAATTATAAAAGAAAAACATTAATGAATTAATTAAACTTTATTTTCAAATAAAATTCTAATCAAAATAAAATTGTCTTTTTTAAATCAATCAATATTTATCAATTATTTAACACATAAACAACTGATTATTACAGTTATTCAATTCAACAACAACAACAAAAAAAACTTTCATTAAATGTTTGATACAAAATATTAAAAACATACTTATGGCTATCCGAGAATAATTCTATGATATTATCACTTATCACTGGTATATCATCTTATCAATTAGTAAGAATTTATTATCGTGTAAATTTGCAAAAAGAAACTATATATGTTATTTTTATTAATTTTTGCTTATGCAGAAAAAAAAAGTTATTCGAGAATAATTCTATGATATTATCACTTGTTACTGATATATCATCTTATCACTTCTTATCATTTAGTAAAAATTTATTATTGTGTAATTTTGCAAAAAAAAAAAAAAAAAACTATGTCACATTATTATTTCTATTATTTTTTGCTGATGCAAAAAGAAAAAAAAAACATTTTTATATTATTTTTAACCATAAATTTTTATTTAATTATTAAATGAATTTTTTTTTTAAAAAAAAAAAAAGAAATTTAAAAATACCTTCGTTGTAACATTCCCTCTGTTATATATTTTGCAACAAGTTTTGAACATTTTGAATTCATTTTGGGAATAATATTATCATAATTATCAACTGTTATATACTTTATTAATTGACAAAATTCTTGATAAATACCATTTTCATCCATACAACATGGAATTAACTGATCCAATTCACTTAAAATATTCTTATTTTACCTGTATAATAATTAATACCTGTTTAATAATTAATAAATTAGCATGTATAATGTATAGTAATTAATAAATTAGCATGTATAATGTATAGTAATTAATAAATTAGCATGTATAACGTGTAATAATTAATACCTGTATAATAATTAATAAATTTGCATAAAGTATTATTAGTAAGCACAGGTAAGTATAATTTAAAATGAAATAAATAATGAAAAAAAAAACAAAAAAAAACAAACAAACATACATTTTACCAATTAAACCATTATAGTATAATTCATTTGGCATAATATTGATTAAAGTTTTATAATCTAATAATGAATTACCCAAACCGATTCCAATTAATTTTGGAATTTCAGAAAACTGAAAAATCAATTAGGCAAAAAAATTTATTGAAATTCAATTATTACTCAAAAATGAGAATAAAATTCAATTCAAAAACGATTTAGCAAACTTTTTTGATATCTCTAATAAACATCAAATATATATTGAAAAAAAAAAAATGCTGCCAAAAAGTTTCTAAAAAATATATGGAAAAGTTTATATATATAAAAGAAAAAATTAAAATTTGGAAAGGTTTCCTTTTTTTTTCAAAAAAAAGAAAAATATGAACTAATTTGAATACAAAATTACAATATTAAATGACAAATTAGTTTAAAAATTTTTATTTAATTTAAAATATTAAAAATTATTCAAAAATGAGAGTAAAACTTGCAAAACGAATTTTTTTTAAAAGTTTTTTAATATCAATAAACTTTAAATGGTATGTTTTTTTTAAAAAGAAAAGAAAAAGAAGAATGTTACCCTAAATAATTAAAATATAGAAAAGTTTTTTCCTTTTTTTTTTCGCGGAATTAAAATATAAACATAATTAATGCAAGCAACGTTTTTATGTATTAATTTCACGTATGTTTTTACGTAGTAATTTCACGTATGTAAAAAATAATATATACTTTTTGAAATATTTCTTATTAAGAAGAAATATTTGAAAGTTTATTTTGTTATTTTATAAATTTTACAATTTCAAATAGTAAAAATAAAAAAAGTTAACAAATTTATATAAAAATTAAAAAAAGACGAAGCATACATTAATTAATTTCTGAGCTAATAATAGAGCATAATAGCTACCATAACCTTGGCCAAATATATATAAAGGATTTTGAAGAAAATTTGAACCAATTGTTGTTTTATAAAAATTTTGAATAGCATACAATAATCCATTAACAATCTAAACAATAATTTTTATCAGTTTATTATCAAAAAAAAAAAAAATAATTCAACGAAAAAAAAGAATGAAATTAAAATAATAATTTTTATCAGTTTATTATCAAAAAAAAAAATAATTCAACGAAAAAAAAAATGAAATTAAAATAATAATTTTTATCAGTTTCTTATCAAAAAAATAATTCAACAAAAAAAAATGAAATTAGAATAATAATTTTTATCAGTTTATTATCAAAAAAAAAAATAATTCAACGAAAAAAAAAATGAAATTAAAATAATAATTTTTATCAGTTTATTATCAAAAAAAAAAAAATAATTCAACGAAAAAAAAAATGAAATTAAAATAATAATTTTTATCAGTTTATTATCAGTTTCTTATCAAAAAAATAATTCAACAAAAAAAAATGAAATTAGAATAATAATTTTTATCAGTTTATTATCAGTTTCTTATCGAAAAAAATAATTCAACGAAAAAAAAAATGAAATTAAAAATAAAATAAAATAATAATACTTACCGTAGTTTCATTATAAAATTTTATCGTATTATTTGATGAATAATAACCAAGATCTGCTGGAATTGTTTCCAAAAATAACATATTTGCAACCTGTCATGTAAATTTTTTTTAAAATATTATCATTTGATCATAATTTATTTTAGCAAATTAAAGTAAAAATATTTATGCAAAAAAAAAAATAAATAAATAAACAAATATATTAATTAATGAAATGAATTATGCATAATTGTAAAATTGAAATTACTTTTTGATCAAATGTATTAAAATTGCATTTTGATTAAATAAAAATATATTTTAAATATTATCATTGCTTTTTATTCAGTTTTTTTTTTCTGTTATTTTAGTAAATTAAAATGAAAATATCTAAGCCAAAAATTAAATAATTAGTTAATGAAATAAATTATGCATAGATGTAAAATTAAAATTACTTTTTAATTCATTCAATTGTTTATCATTGTGATTGCATTTTGATTCAATGAAAATATTTTAAATATTACAATTTGATAAGTTATTTTAGTAATTTGAAATGAAAAATATCTATGCAAAAAAATGAATGGATTAATTAATTAATTAATGAGATAAATGATGTATAATTTTAAAATTAAAATTTTAAAATTGCTTTTTAATTCATTCAATTGCTTATCAATATGATTAATAAAAAAGTAAAAATAATTTACTGCTATAAATATTTCAAATTATTTAATTCACATATAACATATTCATTTTATGAAAAAAAAAAAAAACATTTTAACAAAAAAAATTTAGCTAATAATGATAATAGATAAAACTCTTTGCGGATATTATCTTATCAATCATTATCAATATTAAGTTTCATTAATTTACTTTAATATCATAATAATATAAATTATTTATTTAAAATATCAAAAATGAGAAAAGTTATCTTTCTATTGCTACAATCAAAGAAAAAAAGAGTAAGATAAACAAATAAATAAACAAATAAACAAATAAATAAATAAAATTTTTACTCGATCCCATGAATATGAATTTTCATATAGCATATTTCCACATTTATTTAAACGATATAAGCCAATGTTACTAAAAATATCATAAAATATGGTACAATTTGAAGTAGCACCAAGCCATATAATTAATGGATCCATTTGATTTGTTGATGGAAACCACCTGAATTTCATTTTTTTTTTAAATTAGAATTAATTAAATAATCTTTCACTCATTTTCATATTCTTTAAGTGTAATTCATTTTTGAAATTTCCTAAAAAAAAAAAAGGGTAATAAATTGAATGATAAATTAGAATTAAATTTTTATTAATTTACATTAATATCCTAATAATATCAATAAATTATTTATTTAAAATATCCAAAAATTGAAAAAAAAATTATTTTAAATTTAAAATATCAAAGAAAAAAAGTACAGTAATTAAAAAATAAATATTAGGTAGTCCATTTTTAAATGATTGAGAAGTGATAAATAAACATTTACGTTTTAAGTTCAAAATTGATGAAAAAAAAAAAAAGAAATTGCAAATAAAAATTATTCAATAATAAATTTTAGACACTTATTTTGTTTATTGAAAAAATTGGTTTTTTTTTTTCTTCAACAATTTCTATCTTTTAATTAATTTCTTGTTTATCAATTATTTAATTATTTAGATTCAAGCAATTTAAAATTAAAAATTATATCCAAAAAAAAAGTCTTAAAATTACAACTATCGTTTATTGTGCTTGCAATAATTACTAGCCTAGGATAAATTTTAAATTTTCATACCAATAAAAACGATTATTTCCTTGGCCATCGTCCAGATGCCCAGTTACAGTTTTTAAATTATACCAAAAAGTCTGTCCTGGCATACTGTCATCAGATTTATTTGCATCTATTTTTTCATCAATGAATAAATTTTGATCGCTACACGATGAATCAATTTCAGTTACAATCTATAATTTTATTTAATTGCTAAAAAAACAAATATTAAATTTAAAAAAAAAAGTTGAAAACAAAAATTAGATATAAAATATTATTTATCCGATTAAAGTTTGTTTTTTGGTTTTTTTTTTAAATTTTTGAGTAAATATTTTAAAAAAAGGAAAGAAAAAAACAAATATTTCTAATTTGTTTAAATTTATTTTTCTTTCGTTCTTTTTTTTTTTTAAATTAATATTTGAAATTCTTATTATTTTTTTTTTTTATAATTCTTCGTTCGAAAAAAAAAAAATTTTTTTTTTAATGATATTACTAATATTAAGAGAAGGAAGAAGATGTATTATTTTAGAACTGTGTAATTTATCAAAAAATAATTATTGATTTGAAAATAATTAAAAATTTAAATTCACTTTTGGATTTCGTTTTTTTTTTTTTGTAAATTAATCAAAGTTCATTTAATTCATATTTTACTAAAAAATAATTGGAATTATTAATTGGAATTAAAACGCTTTTTTTAAAATCTTTTTACTTTGCACAATCGTATTTAATTGCTTTTTAACTAATTCCGCAGTATAAATTATTTGTATTAAATTATAAAAAGGAAAAAAAAAAAATGAAATATATTAAAATTAAATTTACCTGTTCTAATATTTCATATTGTTTTTTCAATGGTTTAAACTTTACACTTATAGGTATTGGAGTTGAAAGGTCATTTTGTTCCAAAAAATTATTCAACATTTGAAGTAATTGGCCTGGTCGATCAGATGAAATAAATTGGCCAGCACCCTAAAATAAACTAATTAATTTCACCATATTAAAAAAAAAAAATAGTAATAATTAATTAGCAAATCTTCAATGGTTACTTTTTATCCTTTAATTGAGTGAAACCTAGAAGTAGTTTTAAGTATTACTTTTAATTTGATCAATTAAGCAATCAATAATTTAAATTAGCAAATTAATAAAAATATGATTGTGCTATCTAAAATTTTTTAAAGCTGATATCTTATCTTATCATCATTTTATCCATTCATTGATTATTTTAACACTTCTAATTTTGTGACAATGACAAAAAAAAAGTTTCAAAATAAAATTTAAGATCAAGAAATTAGAAACGATAATTAAAAAATATAAACTATGTTTGATTTTTTATTTACATTTAATTTTATCGCTAAATTATTTACTAATTTTTCAAACAAGAATTTATCAATAAAATATCACTTTAATTACATTTACACTTATCATTTGTGATAAATCAAATTTTTAACAGCGTTACAATTAAATATTAAACATGTTTATATTAAAATAATTTCAAAATTAAAACCTTAATGATAACAAATTGAAGTTTGCCCTTAAATACTTCGATATTTTCAGATATTTCTATTTTTGTTGACATTTTAAATATTTTTTGATAGCCTGCAATTTGTTTATGATAAATCCATGGAATTCGTTCCTGAACAGTTACCATTGAATACATTTTTGCTATCTTTTCAATAAACCATTCATCTGTAAATAAAAAATAATTTAATTAGTTCATTTGTAAACAAAAAATAATCTAATTAGTTCATTTGTAAACAAAAAAACAAGAAATAATTTAATGAGCTTATTTGTAAACAAGAAAAAATAATTTAATTAGCTCATTTGCAAACAAGAAAAAATAATTGAAATAAAGGGTTAAAGCAATATAATAAAAGTAAAATAAAAAATTATATCGTAATTAAATGCAAATTATAACAAAAAATAAACAATTAAAAAATAAAAAATGATTTATTTTCATTTTCATTAATTTTTTTTTTTAAAATCTCACACAATCATACTGCTTAATTAAATTGTATAAATATAAAAATTAATAAATAAATAAATGAATTCACCTCCAATGAATTGATAACTGGTTGAAGCATCACCATCATAAATGAGAATATTTAAAGGATAATTGGAATTTAATATTTGTTGAAAAAGTATTGTTGTATCGTTATAAGATCGTTGCTCATTGATAAGATTTGCTGATGGACTAAAATTTTAATTTAATTAATAATTTTAATTTAATTAATTCAATTTAATAATTAATTAATAACTTATTTCACTTTTTTTCCTCTTTTCATTACAATATTCTATTCATACATTTGGAATTTTCAATAATTTTAACTTAATATTCATGCAACAAATAATTAGAATTTTGGTTTTAATTCTAATTAATTTCAATTTAAGTATTCGATACCGATAATATTAAATTTGAAGATTTCCATAAATTTTACACTAAATAAAATATTTTTTTTTTCTTTTTGTTTATTAAATTAAAAAAATACAACTGCCTAAATTTAATACTTTCTTCTATTATTTAAGTGATTAAAATTATAATAAACACTTTTTTTTTGCTTATTTAAATTAATATATTTTAATTGTTTGATAAATTAAAAATAATTTATTGTTTGAGAACTAATTTTTTTTTTTTTATATTAGGTATCTTTAGCTATACTATGAATATTTTTACTTAATTTTTTTTTCTCTTACAAAACTTAATAATTTAAGATTTTTATAAACTGTATTAAAAAAAAAAAAAAATTGAATAAAAAATTTTTTAAAAAAGAAAAATTATTAAAAAAATTGCAACAAAACTTACTTGCATGCAATCCATTTACTAATAGTTGACGGAATGTGTAATGCAAAACGCACTTCCGGTTGATTCAGATAATTTGCAATAGCTAATGATTTATGCCAATAAAAATTTCTCATTCCATCAATTGTGTTATAATTATTTTGTGACTAAATATTTTAAAATAATGATAAAATTATCTGTGATAAGTAAAATTTGAAATTATGAATGAAATTTTTACAAAAAAAAAAAAATTGGATTAGCATATTTATTTTATTTTAAATGAGACAAATGCGCTTATTCAATGAGAAATAAATAATTTCTAATTTTTTTTAAAATCCTTTTATAATATTTCATTAGTAAATTAAAGTTTTTTGCGCAATTATTATTAATTAATGAGCTAAAAAAATCAATGTGATAAGATACTAATGAAAACTTTATCACTTTATCATATAAATATAAGATAAAGTGTAAAATGTAAAGTATGAAATTTTAATTGAAATAATTAAAAACTGATAAGATATTAGTGAAAACTTTATCACTTTATCATATAAATATAAGATAAAGTGTAAAATGTAAAGTATGAAATTTTAATTGAAATAATTAAAAACTGATAAGATATTAGTGAAAACTTTATCACTTTATCATATAAATATAAGATAAAGTGTAAAATGTAAAGTATGAAATTTTAATTGAAATAATTAAAAACTGATAAGATATTAGTGAAAACTTTATCACTTTATCATATAAATATAAGATAAAGTGTAAAATGTAAAGTATGAAATTTTAATTGAAATAATTAAAAACTGATAAGATATTAGTGAAAACTTTATCACTTTATCATATAAATATAAGATAAAGTGTAAAATGTAAAGTATGAAATTTTAATTGAAATAATTAAAAACTGATAAGATATTAGTGAAAACTTTATCACTTTATCATATAAATATAAGATAAAGTGTAAAATGTAAAGTATGAAATTTTAATTGAAATAATTAAAAACTGATAAGATATTAGTGAAAACTTTATCACTTTATCATATAAATATAAGATAAAGTGTAAAATATAAAGTATGAAATTTTAATTGGAATAATTAAAAACTGATAAGATATTAGTGAAAACTTTATCAGTTTATCATATAAATATAAGATAAAGTGTAAAATATAAAGCATGAAATTTTAATTGGAATAATTAAAAACTGATAAGATATTAGTGAAAACTTTATCAGTTTATCATATAAATATAAGATAAAGTGTAAAATGTAAAGTATGAAATTTTAATTGGAATAATTAAAAACTGATAAGATATTAGTGAAAACTTTATCAGTTTATCATATAAATATAAGATAAAGTGTAAAATATAAAGCATGAAATTTTAATTGAAATAATAAAAAACTTACTCTTGCATACATTGATAAAGTAAAGTTAGGGAGAATAATCGTTTTATCATCTGACATTTCACTTTGATTATTATTGCATTGATAATGAATACTTTCATAAAGACTGTAAATATTTTAACTGTAAATTGAAAACAAAAATTGAAGGACTCTTCCAATTGGAGTATTATTATACTTTTACTTAAGTAAGTATAAAACTATCATTATCAGTCATTATCACTCATATATTCTTTTTAAACAATAAAAACTACTACAACCCTAACTGTAAGCAATATTTTCAAGTTTAGTTTCATTTCATTTTAGTTTCAAATTTAGTTTCATTTCAATATAATGAACATAATTTACTAATAGATTTTAAGATTACTTTTTGTAAAATAATCTTCAGACAAATATCGAATTTAAATTAAAAAAATCTGAATGGAATTTTTTTTTAATTATTTGAAAAAGAAAATGGAAAAAAAATTTTTGAAAAAATGTTTTGACAAAAAAAAAAAAGAAAAGGAAAATAAAAACTGACAATTTGTGATTTTCCCACATATAATCACGAACAGATGATAAATAATCACCACAACTGATATTTGCAATCGAAATAACATTTCCATATTCCGGAAATTCAACATATTGCGAGAAATCAAAATATGCTTCCGGTTGAGTAATGCTTGAATTTTTATAATAATTCATAAGCTTCAAATAATACCTTAAAAAAAAAAGAATTATCATATTAAAATAGAAATATGATAATATAATCATTAGCAAAATGCATTGCTTATCTCATTTAATCAAATTAAATGATAAATTAAAATAAATTAATTTTATTTTATTTTTAATTAAACAGTATATGATAAGTTAATTTAATAAATTAAATAAAAATTTGTCAAATATTTTCATACAAATAAATAAACAAAAATTAGCAAACTAACTCATAATCGATTACTCCTTTGTATGAAAGTATCGTAATCAATGAGTTATACTGTTCGATCTTACTTAACATACCATTTTCAATTGCAATACCAACGAGATTCAAATCATTAGTTTTTTCAATCTGTATAAATTGTAATTAAACTTAAATGCTAATTGATTAATTGATAATATTGATACTAAATTGATAAAATGATGATAAGATGGTGAAGTGATAATAAGTTTATTATTTGATTTGATTGATTGACGATCAATGATAAAACTGAATAATGGATTGATAAAATGATAACAAATGTAGTTGTCTAATTTGACTGACTGATCGATAACAAGTGATAATATTAATGATAAGTTAGTGAAGTGATAATAAATGCTATAGTTTGATCTGATTGAATAAATCTATATTACTTAGCATATATTTGCGATCACTCGAATTAATAAAAATAATTAATTTGATCTAAAAAAATATATAAAATTAAAAAATTATATTATTTATATTCTACCTGAATTCGATTAATAATTTGAGCTGATAATTTTAAAATGTATAAAGAAGCATATGAGTGACCAGTAATGAAGAATGGACGGTTGATATATTCCGGAAATACAGTCAAAAAATCCATCAAAGCATGAAAGACTTCTCTAACAGTCTAAAAAAAAGAAAACGAAATTTTCTTTTATTAATTAAATTATTCAAATTATTTATCAATTAAGCATATGTAATAAAAATAAAAAAGAAATTCACCTAAATTATAACTATTATCTTTTCATTTTTATTCATTTATCATTTATAGTCAATTAAAGATAATTTGAAAAAAATAAGAAAAGACATGAAACCTTATTATTATTAAAATCAAATTCATTTATCGAAAGAATTTCCTGTGAAAAGCCAATGAAACGTGATGATTCAAGGTAAAGCACATTTGCTATCTATAAAATAATATGTGATTTAAAATTTAAACTTAATTTTTTTTTCTTGAGAAAACATTATTTTATTATAATATATTAGTTTTTATTTAAAAATATTTAAAAAGTTACATTTTCTATATTACAATCATTTCAACATTCGATGAATGCATTACCTTATTAATTGCAAAAGAAAGTTTTTCATACTTTAAGCTTAAAGATTAAACATTTGTAGGATGATTTAAGATAACAAATGAATTTATCAATTAATTTAACCTATTTAAAAACAAATATAAAAGCAACAATTAATTTATAAATTTGAATTTGAAAATGAAAATTTTTTGAATAATTCCTAAGGTTGTAATCAAATTTTATTCAGCGTAAAATAAATAAATGTATGAAAATTTAAGTTTTATCAAACCGGCAAATCAATCATTAACTTTCCAGTAATTGCTGAATTTAAATTATGAGTTAGAAACATACTTTGTTCCATGAGTAATTATTTTCCGACAATGTCATATTATCTGAATTTGACCGGAATGGCCCATTTCCGGAAAAGAAACTATTAAGTGAGCTACAGCTTGGCTCACCACTTAACCATAATATTAACGGATCGTTGGATGAATTGCGTTGTGATTCAACAAACCTTAAATTCACAATGTAAAAGTGGTGTTATCAATTTTGTTGAATGATTAATTCTAGGAATAATTAGTCCTTATCGCTTCATTCTAACTTGTCAAAGAAAAAAAAAGCTATCAAAGTACATTTGATAATTTATTTACTAACCTTTAAAGTCATTCAGAGAGTATTGTTGAATAAAATTTCAACAATTGCCAATTAACAGTGAAAAAATTCAACTGTTAAAAAATTCAATGCAAAAAAAAAAAAATTAATAAATGAATGGTTTATTTTATAAGTAATCAGTTTTTTTTTAAATGATTTATTGTATAAGTAATGATAAGAAAATGATAAATCAATAATTTACTCTATAAGCAAAAAAAAAAAGAAAAAATGAAAGTAATAAATAACTCATTAGATTTGATCAGTTCATCTTTGTGATTACTTTTGATAACAATAAAAAAATCATGAAATAATCAATGATTTTACAATTTTTAAATTGTAAAATTTTTACAATTTTAAAAATATAATTTATTATTGAAATAGCAATAAAATAACACTATGTGTCACCACAGTGGCGAAGATATAACCTAATGAACAAAGGCTATTGTTTTAATTCCACTTCGTAACCTTAACACCCATAAGTCCCTCCCAATTTTCTTCCTTACAAAGCCATTCATTACAGTTCTTTGTTTGGTATGGCTCGGTTGCGAAGTGTCTAGCTTGCTTATATCTTTAATGGTTTATAATTAAGTTACATTTCTGTGTTATGTATCAATTCATTATTGTGTTTTTGTATAACATTTAATGTTAATCAGTGCTTTAATTACCCAAGTTTGAGGTTTGAATAATAAAGTATTTCACGAAGACTTTCACAGTACACGTACACAGAACGGAATCAATACAGATTCCAGATTCTACCAGTATCGAGAATAAAGAAGTCAATGATCTGAACCATCAAGAAAGGAAACCTATTTTGTTTCACAAGAAAACAGGGCAGTAAGAAAGAAATTCTAAATTTGCTTTTGCACTATGACACCTACCAGTAATGCAAATGGCCAGAATCAGCATTCAGATAGCCAGAATACTGCTTAAAATTTGGTTCAAAGGTTAATCCCGGTAAATTCCATATACGATCACGTTGCTTGCGTGTTGCTAAAAATATGATCACGTTATTATCATTATGCCAGAAAAAAAATAATAATTTCACATTTTATTGCTAAATTATGATTTCATATAAAGTACTGTAATATTTAGTATCATTTTTTTGCCAGTAATTGTCACATAACTACTGCTTCTCTTATGTGAAATTAATTAATTTAAATTCAATTAAATTTAATTATTAAACATCTTTTTTCCTAATTTAATTTTTGAGTAATTGCTAAGAAATGAGAATTTATCAGATGTGTTAAATTTAGGAAATTAAATTTAACACAAAACGCGCATGAAGTTAGTAGTATTTTAGAACAGAATTGTAATTCAGATCAATTAATTTCAAGCATTGTTATCATTCTCATATTTTAATTTTAATAATTAATTAAAATTATTTTGCATTAATGAATTCTGAACTAATAATTTCTTCAAATATTGATTACATGATGCATTATTGCTTGTAAAATAATAAAATATTTTTTAAAAATTATAAAATTATTGTTAAATTACTTAAGAGTGGAAAAAAGTTAAGTTAAAAGTTACGAGTTATTTGTGGTACTGGTTGATATTGTGGAAGAATTGATTTTGGTTTTGTATCATAACTCAAAATACTACTATAATTTGCTTTTTCAATAAAATTTGCAAACATTTGCAATGATGGTCCACCGCGATCCAACGGTACAAAATGACCCGCACCCTGAAGAAATAATTTTAAAATCGTTTCTTAATAAATTTAGTAAAAAAAAATTATAAATTTCAATTAAAAAATATTATGAATTTTCTTATCAAAATAACGTGTTTATCATCATTCATCTTACCTAATTAATTTATTCATAAAAATTTAACTTTTCTTTTTTGAACAAATTAGATTAATCTAACTAGTACAATCATTACATTACAAACATGTTTTTGATGAATTAATTGAAATTAAATTAAGATTTCTAACCTCTAACCTCTCATTCTAGCATCTTATCTAATAGGATCAAAATTTGAATAAAAGATTAGCAAAAATAAAAAATATAAGAATATTTTTATTGCTTTGAAATGACTATAAACTAGTTTGTTAAATAATGATAATAATAATTTAAACTTTTTTTTTATCTCACTATAATTTTTATCATTTTTTATTGAAACAATCAAAAAAAAAAGTTACTAACTTTTACAGTGACATAATCAATTGTCACATAATCACTCATAAAAAATTGCTGATAATAACCAGCTAATTGCTCAAGAAATTCTGAATTTTCTTGATAAGTCCACAATTGACGATTTGATTTTGGATAATTATTAGTAATTCTCATCACAAACCATTCATTACTCAAAAAATTATATTGAATATCAGCATCACCATTATAAATTAATATTCGTATATCATTTGGATAAACTATAAAAAAAAATTTTTTTTTGTTTTTAATTAGTAATTAAAAAAGTAAACAAAAAAAAGCAAAGAAAAATATGTAATTACTAGGAATGAAAGTATTAAAATTGTCATCAAAATATTCACGAAGTGAAAAGTTTATTTAACATTTTGTAAATTTTGTAAAGGTTTTTTTTATTTTTTATTTTATTTCATTTTAATTCAAAAAAAAAAAATGAAATGAAAAATATTTAATAAAAGTAAATTTTATATTATGTAACAAAAAAAAAAAAAAATAAGAAAGAAAGTTTCTTCCTCACAAAATTATATTAGTTACATAAATCAGTGCAAAAAAAGAAGAAAAAATTAGTTTAAAAACATTATTGTTTTATTTGAACTTTTGCGCTCATTTTTGCGCTCAGTCCATCAAACATGCAAAAAATTTTGATTAAATTTAAAATGAGTAAAAATATAAACAAACTTAATGGGAAATGATGAATAATTGATTGAAAAATAGGCATCATATCAAGATATTTTCTTTTATAATTCGATTGGAACATTTTACTAAAAAAAAAAAAAAAAAAAAAAAAAATATAATTAAAATTATTTTGCTAAAGTTTGAAAATATTATATAATTTTAGTAAAATTAAAAATAACATTTTTTATTATTATCATAGTATTTTGTCCTTTTTTTTTTTGTTTATTGTTTATCCTCATTAGAGGTAAAGTAAGGTAAAGTAAAGTAAATCTATATGACAATTCATCAATTTCAAAAAATTATTTTGTTTTAGGAAACAAAAAAAGAAAAAAGAAAGGAAAAAGAAACCTAAATGATATTATATGCATTTAAGTAAAATTAATTTTAATTTCAATTTGAAATTACAATAATTAGATAAAATAAATTATAATAGTAATATACAAACCTGCACATTGACCAAGATGGTAAATTATTGGGAATATTTAATGCTTCTCGTACAATTGATAAATTTAAATAATTTTTTATTGCATTTTTAATCCAACATGGAAAACCATATTGTGCATCAGTTGATTCAATATTTATGAGTGACTGAAACATTATCATACTTATATTTTATTTATATCACAATTAAATGGTTTTTTAATTTTGTAAAAAATTTATACTATTAATTTTCTTTTTTTTAAAAAAAAATTCCTTTCTTTCTGGAAAAAAAATGAAAAATTGAATGAAATTTCATGTGGGATTTAAAATAAGAATTATTAATTATTAATTCAAAAATTTTTTTTTATTTAATTTTTTTGATCTATCATAAATATTAATAAGAAACGTACACCTTGATCGATAAATGTTTCAGGTGAATTTACATTGAACATTGGTTGTTGTTGATAATTCGTTGATTTCATTATTTTTATATCATCCGTTGATATCGGATCCATATAGCAATCTTGATATTTATTAAACGAATTTTCTCTAAAAATAAAAAATTTGATTTCTAGAAATTTCTAAATTATTCCATTTGTTTGCTTTTTCTTTAATTCAAATAGTTTTTTTTTTTTTCAGAAAAATAAAAAATAAAGTTTAAAAAGTAAAAAAAGAACTTTTTCCTCCATATTTTACATTTTTAAAAGTTTTAATAAATTAATTATATAAGCTGAAAAAGAAGAAAAAAAAAAGTTTCGTTATTTTTTCAATTGAATTTATAAACTTGCAAATTTTTTTTGAATATTTCTTTTTTTTAATGCTATAAAATTACATTAAACTGTTTGACTTTTAGTATTTATTATCAATTTTAAATTGCCAAAAAAAAAAGAAAGCAAAAAAGAAAAATAAATACAACAAATTACTATTTGAACAATAATAAACATACAATTATCTTACAAAAAAATAAACAAACGAATAATTGAAAACAATAACAATGCGACAAATGCGCTTAATGTTTTGTCAAAAATAAACAAAAAAACTTACAATCGTTTATTAAATGCATATTTCGTTATTTTAGATGCACATTCACTATTATCAATGGGTTTATTTGTTGTCCAATTTATAAACTGCGAAAAGTTACAATATGCCAATGGTCCGGGAATAGCCGTTAAACAACAATTAGTAAAACTTTCAAATTCTCTTAAAAAAAAAAATTTAATTAATTAATTATTTACAACTTGAACATTGAAATAAACACTAAAACTATCTGTTTTTTTTTAATGAAAATTTTGTTTAATTAAATATTTCTAATTTTTTCTCTTTTTGTTAAAACACAAAAAAGTTCAAAAGATTCTACAAACAAAAAAAAACAAAAAATTTGCTATGAGACTTTTTTTTTAAATTTTACTATTAAACTTTACTATTTATTTTCATTCAATCATTTACTTTTTTAACTTTTCAGTGAAGGAAACAAAAAAAAAAAAGAAAAGTAAATATACTTTTTATCAAGCATTCCATTGTAGTACTGCAAGGCAATCATTGAATTTATTCTGTCCATTTCATTGTAAGCACCATTTCCAATAGCTAAGCCAGCTAATTTGATATTATAAAGATTTCCATTCTGCTAAAATATGTATATGAAATTATTTAAAACTATCTCAGGAATCATTTATAACTATCTCAGGAATCATTTATAACTATCTCAGGAATCATTTATAACTATCTCAGGAATCATTTATAACTATCTCAGGAATCATTTATAACTATCTCAGGAATCATTTATAACTATCTCAGGAATCATTTATAACTATCTCAGGAATCATTTATAACTATCTCAGGAATCATTTATAACTATCTCAGGAATCATTTATAACTATCTCAGGAATCATTTATAACTATCTCAGGAATCATTTATAACTATCTCAGGAATCATTTATAACTATCTCAGGAATCATTTATAACTATCTCAGGAATCATTTATAACTATCTCAGGAATCATTTATAACTATCTCAGGAATCATTTATAACTATCTCAGGAATCATTTATAACTATCTCAGGAATCATTTATAACTATCTCAGGAATCATTTATAACTATCTCAGGAATCATTTATAACTATCTCAGGAATCATTTATAACTATCTCAGGAATCATTTATAACTATCTCAGGAATCATTTATAACTATCTCAGGAATCATTTATAACTATCTCAGGAATCATTTATAACTATCTGAGGAATCATTTATAACTATCTCAGGAATCATTTATAACTATCTCAGGAATCATTTATAACTATCTCAGGAACCATTTATAACTATCTCAGGAATCATTTATAACTATCTCAGGAATCATTTATAACTATCTCAGGAATCATTTATAACTATCTCAGGAATCATTTATAACTATCTCAGGAATCATTTATAACTATCTCAGGAATCATTTATAACTATCTCAGGAATCATTTATAACTATCTCAGGAATCATTTATAACTATCTCAGGAATCATTTATAACTATCTCAGGAATCATTTATAACTATCTCAGGAACCATTTATAACTATCTCAGGAATCATTTATAACTATCTCAGGAATCATTTATAACTATCTCAGGAATCATTTATAACTATCTCAGGAATCATTTATAACTATCTCAGAAATCATTTATAACTATCTCAGGAATCATTTGTAATTATAACTATCTGAGAAATTCAACAATTACTTAAGGAATAATTCATAATTACCTAAAGAATAATTTTTAACTTACCTAAAGCTTCATAATTTTTTTATAGTAACCACCTAAATTTAACGTTAACTGTTGACTAACATCTGTGCTATTTAAACTCTATTACGATGCAATATATTTGTTTATACTAGAATTAATATGATGTTTACAGGTAATATATTCATATTCTTAACCGTAAATGTAGTAAATAATATTGTGCTAATTAATACAATATTTGATTATTAATTAGTGCTTAAATGTTTAATTAACAAAAAAGTGGAAAACAGATTTTGTTTATTGTTATCTTTTGCTAATCATTCATTTCAGACATTTTAAATAAATAATAAAAAATAAAAAAAAAAAAAATGATAAAACCTGAATCCTTTTGATTAGTACATTTGCTAACATTGGTCCATGAATTGCTGTATATGCTTGACCAGTAATGTAGAAATCACGATTCTGATATTGTTTAAATCGTTGAAAAAATTGCTCCAATGCATCAGCATTATCTTCAGCTATCTAAATTGAAAAAAGAAAAACAAACAAACAAATGTTTTGTTTACCAATTAAAAATACATTCAAATTGTTTATTATTAAAAAAAATTTATTTAAAATTACAAATATAAAAAGCAACTATATGTTTGAAATTTAATAATTTAAAAAAAGAAATTTTCAGTAATTTTGATTTTGTTTTTTTGTTTTTTGTTTATTTTTAAACAAACCAATTGCATATTTTTAGACAAAGAAGAATTAGCAAATATTCGTAATTAATTAAATTATTAATAATTAAAACTAAGCTAATTAAATATATAAATAAAAATTTTTCATATGGATGCAATTACATACATCGAAAAGAAAAAAAACGAGAACATTTCAAAAGAAGTTAAAATTAAAAAAAAGAGGAGGAAACTTTATAAAATCAAATGTTAAATATGTTAAAAATAAAATTGTAAATTTTAATAAAATATTAAAGCATATTAGCTAATTACGCAATAAATTATGCCAATTTAAATTCTTAGCTAACATTTTAATTAATTCATATTCAATATTTTTTTTCGTCAAAATTATTTATCAAGATATTATGAATATATTACAAGTGTTTAAAATTTCATTGTTTTAAATTTCACAAAATAAATTGTTATTTACTTATCAAATCAGTAATACTTTTATATTTTTCATTGCTAACATTGCTTCTAAGCTTTGTTGTCGCAAAATTTTTTTTGATAAAAATTTGTATTTCTTCATTTATACTGCATTTTATAAATCTTTCTAAATGATATTCAAATTCTCATCGAATTGCAGAATTAATTTAAATTAATTAATTTAATTTCGATATACCAATCATTTATTTATTAACATTTGATTAATTGAAATGATTGGATGCAAAACTTTAATAAATCATTTTATGAAATTTTTTTCCATTTCTGTTTAATTATCTCTTTTAATATTAACTTTTGAAATCAAAAAAAAAATTGTAGAATTTTTTCAAACTAACAAACTGATAAATTATTTGTTTAAGAAGAAAAAAGAAACAAAGGGAATTATTCGATGATAATACCGAAAAAAGTAGAAATTTAGTTTCTTTTTTTTTAATCACTATTAATAACATTTATTGTTAATTAATACTTTCATTTAAAATATCACTGAAATTTTATTCAAACATTTATGAAGTCTACCTGTAATATTATAATTTACTAATCATTAATAACTAATAATCCTTTCTTCTACTCAATTACCTGTCATTAATGATTTTTAATTAATAAACTCTTCTTTTCAAACAAACAAAACAAAAAAAGTCGGACAGAGAGGAAATGGGAAAGATTTGAAAAAAAAATTTAAAAAAAACTTCGAAACTAAAAAAAAAGAAAAACTTTTAAATATTACCATGTCATCATCCCATATCACATCTGATGGTATTGAAGTATTTCTGTATGAAAAACCGATACCATACGGTGATTCGAGAAATATTAAATTAGCAACCTTAAATTCAATCTATTTCATTTAGAATTTTTTTTTTTTAGAAATTTTAATCTTTTTTTCTCTACTAAAACTCAGCAATGAAACTTTAGTAACATTTAATATTAATAATTTTGATAAATATCTTTTATCTTAGTGACTGCTATATTTTCAAGGAACTAACTTATCAATAAAAATGCTCTAAATGCTATTTGTAAAATTTACAAGAAAAAAAAAGGAGTTAAATTAGCTAATTGATTAAAATTTAATTAATCGACAAACCTTATTCCAACTATAAATATTTTCGAATAAACTTTCACCATCCTGATTAACGCGGAATGGTCCAATTTGCGCCAATGGACCATCAAGTGAGTTACAACCTAATCCACCATTAAACCATAAAATTAATGGATCAGTTGATGGATTATTTTGTGATTCGATAAGCCTAAAAAGTTTTAGCTATTAATTAATTAATTATTGTTGCAATAATAAAATAAATTAATTACATTAATTTCGTGATATTTTATCTCATAAAAAATTTCAAAATATAAACAATTATACCAATAATGCAAAAAATTTCCGGTTTTTGTTGGTAAGAATCCGGAATATTGCTCAAAATTAGGTTTAAATGTTAATCCAGGTAAATTAACAATTCGATCATCATTCCAAATAAATGCTACGGTAGTATGAGAGAATACTGTAGAAAATACAAGGAGCAAAAATCGGAAAAACTGATTAGCCATATGTGATGGTTTAATTTTCTCTTATCAGTAATTTATTTTTCGCTTATTATATAGTAAATTTTAAGACAAAAATGGTAAATACAAAAAAAAGAGGAAAAAAAAAGCGAAAACAAAATTTTATTTTTATAGAAATGACTTTGATAAGAAATTGTACTTACTTATTTTAATTTTTAACCTTAATAAATTCATTTCATAGAATTAATCATTTTATTTTTTTAATTAAATTATTGGAAATTGTTTTAAATGAATCTTTGCAAAATGTTTAAGCGAATGAGATGTAATTTTAAAAATATCTAAATTTGTTTACATGTTAAAATATTTGTAAAATATTTTTAATAGAAACATTTGCAAAAATATTGCATTGTAATTTTACTAATTTAACTCTAAAACTATTTCTTTTGCACAATAATCTTTTCTCTATTAATAATAATTAATAATAATAATAATACTAAGTGTTTAATATCATTTTAATTATTTTATTAGTAAAAGTATTTACCAATATGACAGTTAAAGTTTCGTTTTTTCTTTCTTTTCCATTTTAACAGTTGAAATTTCCTACCAAATCAAAATAATCTTTGTTTTCAAAAAATTTATTGAAATATTTTACTTACATTTATAAAGTAAATGAAACTTTTTTTTTTCGTTTTCAGAAATTACTTTTAGATAAAGTAATAAATATTAATAACTTTCCATTGCTTTTTCATAATATTTTCTCATTTGCAAGGAAATTATCAATTTTTTCATAAAATATTGTTTATAAAATATTTTAATTTCTTTTTTCTTCAAATAAACTTAAAAGATCAAAAAATTTTTTTCAAGACCAAAAAAATACATAGTACATTAATTTTGTTATGAAAATTATTCCAAACAAAAAAATTTTGATTAAAAAGTACAAAATAAAAAAAAAAAAGTGAAAAAGCTAAAGTTTATAAATATTTCATATTGCTAATATCTTTTCTTTTCTAACTAGAAATATCATTCAAAATAAAAAATTTTCTAGTATTATTTTTCGAAAATTTTTCATCTTTTAATTTTTAGATAAAAAAAAAGAATGAAATTGCAGATTAAACTAAGAAATTTTGAGTTAGCAAAAATGTTTTTGTAATTTTGCAGAGAAAAATTTAATTTCACATAAATTAACTTTTTTCATTTTTTCTTTAAAGAAAAAAAAAAGTAAAAATATTGTTTATATTTAAAATGAATATTATTTGATGCTAATTCATTCTATAATATTTATTATTTCATGCGTTTGTTCAACGAATAAAAAATTTTTAAAAAAAAAAGTTTTTGTTAAATTTGATGAAACATTTATACTTTTAAGCTATTACAAATACAATAAGACAATAAGTTTACAATTACAATATGCTATAATTGTGTTCGTAATAGATTGTATTCTATATTATAGATAAATCAGATAGATAGATCAGATAGATGGATCAGATAGATAGATCAGATAGATAGATCAGATAGATAGATTAGATAGATAGATCAGATAGGTAGATCAGATAGATCGGATAGATAGATCAGATAGATAGATCAGATAGGTAGATCAGATAGATAGATCAGATAGATAGATTAGATAGATAGATCAGATAGGTAGATCAGATAGATCGGATAGATAGATCAGATAGATAGATCAGATAGATAGATCAGATAGATAGATTAGATAGATAGATTAGATAGATAGATCAGATAGGTAGATCAGATAGATCGGATAGATAGATCAGATAGATAGATCAGATAGATAGATTAGATAGATAGATCAGATAGGTAGATCAGATAGATCGGATAGATAGATCAGATAGATAGATCAGATAGATAGATCAGATAGGTAGATCAGATAGATAGATCAGATAGATAGATTAGATAGATAGATCAGATAGGTAGATCAGATAGATCGGATAGATAGATCAGATAGATAGATCAGATAGATAGATTAGATAGATAGATCAGATAGGTAGATCAGATAGATCGGATAGATAGATCAGATAGATAGATCAGATAGGTAGATCAGATAGATAGATCAGATAGATAGATCAGATAGATAGATCAGATAGGTAGATCAGATAGATCGGATAGATAGATCAGATAGGTAGATCAGATAGATCGCATAGATAGATCAGATAGATAAAATGAATATGAATATAGTTAATATCTTATAGTTCCATTTATTTGTTTTATTTAATAATTATGATTTGAAAAAAAAAAAAACTATTTTCCTTTAACATGAAAATGTAATAAAAACTTTATTATTAATAAGTTTATAAAATACATATATTTGCAACTTTTAATTGAAAAGAAAAAAAGTTAATTAACAAACAAATAATTAATTGTGGGATAGTTTTAATAAAATATTACTGGAAAATGACGAAAAAGAAATAAAATATTGATTAGAAATGTGATTAATATTTCGTCAAAAATTTCAAAAATTTCAAAAAAATAGGAAGTGGGAGAAAACATTGTTTTAGTTTAAAATTATTATTATTATTTTTTTTCAAATAAATTATCACAAAAATGCGAAAGTAGTCGAATTGTAAAATTAACTCAAATATATTTCCCTTTTTTTTTTCCACTTTTTTGATTTTTCTAAATTCAATGAAATAAATAAACTTTTGTTGTCAGTGCTAAAAAAAGAACTCAAAATGCTTAAAAAATTAAAAAAAAAAACAAACTTAAAAATGTTTAATTGGAAGCAAATTTTAACAAACGCAAAAATGAAAAATTATTTATTGCAATTAAACTTTGATAACAATAAAAAATTAACTAATTATATACATTAAATAACATTTCTAAAAATGATTTAACAATATAAAAGTTATTTCTTTCCAAAAATAAAAGGAATGAACAAAAAATTAATAAATAAATATGATTTCTTTTTTTTTGCAAATAACAAAAAATTGAATTTAAATTAGAAAAAAAATAGAAAAACATAATGAAAAAGGAAATCTTTTTATAATACTAATTTTATTAAAGTTTTCGATATATATTAGATATAAAAACAAAAAAACAGCAAATTTTTTTTTTTGTAAATTTTTAAAAGTTTTTGTTTTATAAAATAACAACTGAAAATACCCATTATCATTGTTAAATTGATTATATTTTAACATTAACATTTGTTTTATTTCGAATACTGTTGTTTAATTCTTTGATTTTCTAAAAATGAATAAAATATAGTTTGAGCAACAATTTGGAAGAATTTCCTTTTTTTTCTTTTTTTTTTGAAATTTTAACTGAATTTTAAAATTGAAAGTTTAATATTATGATAGAAATAAATTATTGTTTTATTATTTCATGTAATATTAAATGATTAATTAATGAAAAAAATAATTTTTATACCCTTTCTAAAGATGAAGTGATCTCAATTGGTGGTTGACAAAAAAAAATAATCAAAATTAATATTCCAGCTAATAATATTGATCCAAATGTGTAGCACTAAAATTTAAATTTTAATCGTTTCATTTTTTATTTATTGTTTAGATACAATTAAAATTTGTTTATTTCAAATAAATAAACAACTAAATGATCAAAATTGTTATAAAACTATCAACTCGTTTTTTTTTTTTTTTTGATTCTTATATATTTTTTATGATTCATATTTATGATAGATTTAAATTTATATATTTAATCTAATTATTGATAAAGTTATTGATAAAGCTAAAATATAAAAGATTGTTTGTTATACTTTTATACTAATTAGTAAAAAAATAATTATTATTGTTATGTGATAAGATGATTAAATAAATTTTCTAGCTATTAAGTAAAATTTTTACTTTGATTTCAATTAAAATTATGAAAAAAAAAAAGAAAAGAAAAGCTAACTGTAGCAGTGATAAGTACTTCGGAATACTTAAATGGACCGCATAGTGTTTCCGGATTTTCCTGTTTTATGATTACAATAAGAAGCATTATTAATGTTATCAGTGGGGTGATAACTGATATCCCATGAAAGACAATTGTCTAAAATCAATCTTAGCATTTCGTTGTTAAAATTATTTGATAAAAATTAAAAATTAATAATTATAAATAAGTAAAAGATAAAGAATTAATGGAGAGAGAGAGAGAGAGAGTGAGAGAGAAAGATTCTAATAATGGAAAATTTAATTAAATAAACTATATAAAATAAGTTATGAAATTATTTTGAAGCTTAAATAATGCCAAATAAAAAATAAATGAATACAATTTAAAAAAAAAAAAAAAAACAATAAGTCGAAATGTAAGTTAATTATGCAGTAAAAATTTTAATTCCAATTAAATAACAATAAAAATAAAGGCATTGTTTTCATAATTTTTTTTTTACATAAATTTATAAAATACGTATAATACGTATAAAAGTTTTTTTTGTTTTTAAAAAAAATTACAATAATAATTATAGCAAACATTACAAAAATTGGTGCAATTTGAATACGTAAACATTTGAATGTTTCACAAATTAAATTAATAATTTGAAAAAAAAGCGCAATAGACATGAATGAAAATGCAATGATTAATTTTGTATTACTTGTCCATACGTAACGTGAAATAATTAACGTTACTGATACGAATGCCAACATCTATAATAAATAGTTAATTAATTAATTATAATACTACTTGATAAAACGCTAATTTCTTTGTTAAGTTTAAGATTAAAGTTTTATTTTTATAATATATTATGATATTTATAGGTCAATTAATCTGCAATTATTATTAAATTAAATTTTCATTATGACTTTTATCAATGATATATCAATAATCAATGAGTGATTTGCATTGAGTTACAAATGTTTTTTGCTTGTTTCTAATGATCTTTTCAGGAAGATTTCTCGACGATCAATCAAATTGATTGAGTGAAATCACAGAAGAGAAGGGTCAAAAAGGTCAATCAGAATTAATTGAAATTTTTATTCTTACAGCAAGTAATTCCTCTAATCTGAAATTAATGAGAAATGTGAATTAAATGCTTTTCCCTTTTTTTTTTGATTTCACTCAATTATTTCAATCAATTCTTGCTTTTCCCGTCAAATAAGTTTGACCTAATCAAAGAAATTTAGATTTGAAATCCGGATTAGAGTTAAGAAACCGGAATGATTCATTTCATTTCATAAAACAAACCGTAGACAGAAGTGTAAGTGAATAATACAGCTCACGTGGACAAACCATCTGGCTAGCAATCAGCTAGTAAAAATAACTTTTAATTTTAAAAAAAAAAGCTATATTAAAATTTATGCATAAAACAAATATCATTAGGTAATATGAAACCTGAGTCAAGTAAACGTGATTAAGCGCTTACACATAAACTAATTTACACGTAAGCTTACACGTAAAATAATTTAATGAGTTCAAATTCAATAAGCATTTTTTTTTTTTAGTCAATAAGTTTTTTAGGTTTGAATTTATTAAACAATCTTAGGACTTATGAATGATTACTTTAGCAGCAAATACGAAAGTTTTTTTATTAACTTTTTTTTTTTTTTTTTTTGCAATTGCGTGAGAGTTTAACAAATGAAATTTTTATTTGAAACTTTTCAAATAATTAAATTGAGATAATAATCACAATTATTATTAATTTCAAAATAATTGATTAGCTTCATAACAAAATAAAATAAAATATTCTGATATATCTCAAATGAAACATAATAATTTTCCTAGCTTTTATTCCTTCTTAAATCGGATAGAAATTCTCGAATAATTTAGAAAAGTTATTTTTACATTTATTTGTTCAGTCACACTTCTAACCAATAATTAAAAGTAGAAAATAATTAAAAGTTTCAAAATAGTTTTTTGTTTAGAATTTCTATTATTATTTCTATTATTAACTGACACATACAGATGGATTTCATCTTTTTTTCGGCAAATCTCGAATTTATTCAAACTATTAAATTAGCTAATTTTTACTATAAGATAGATTGCATCTGAAAATGCTTCTTTGTTCTTTTAAATGAAGATATTTAGGTTTAAGTAGATTAAACTGGCATAAAATATTAGTTACTAAATAAATAATAATTCAATGATATATTTTAAATCATATAAAAAGTACACAGACAGATAAAAAAAAAAAATTAAAAAGAAAAACATTGCAATTTCAATTCAAAATAGGAAATTAAAAGGAAATATTACAACCCATATGCATTGAATAATATTCATAATACAATGATATTTATGCGTATTACAGAAAAAAATTCAATACACTTTTTTCTTTTTTTTTATAATTTATTTAATTCCACTTACAAATTCAATTCGCTTTAAACCCTTCTGCTAAAATTGTCAAATGCTAAATTGCCAAATTACCGTTAAATGACAAAATCATTTCACAGAAGAATTAAGCATAAAATTAGTTAAGTTCAAAATTTTATGAACAAGATGAACTTTACATAAAAACTTCATGCTACAAAATAAGTTGCAAAAACTTACCATTTGAAAGAAACACTTCAATTATTTGCAGTAATGATTATTGCAATGAACAGAAATCTAGAAGTGAATGATATGCTCTTTCTACAAAAAATTTAAAACAATTTCGAAAAGTAGTACTACCACTTTTCTTTACAATAATTTTTATTCATAATAAATATAATGCAAAAGTATAAAGACATCGATTAATATGCTCTTATCACATTGTAAAAAGTAATCAATATAAAATGGAATGAATGAAACAATTGCAGAAATTACAAAAAAAAAAAAAAGTTGTTTGATGAACAAAAAGAAAGAATTTCAATCTCATATATATTTGTCTCTTCCAAAAATTGAAGAAACTTCTTATTATCAAATTACCAAATATGCATAATAGCAAATGCATTAATCAGATATTTTCTGAAAAAAAAAAGCAACATTTCACAATTTGTTTAGCTTCCCAATTTTAAATGAAAACTTTTCTTGCAAAATATAATTAACATAATCAATTTGAATAATAAAATAAAAAATACAAATAGTATGAAATTTTTCTTTTGATATAATTAATGAATGCTTTCATCATTATTGGATATCAATCGAGTAGCACCAATACCTCGAGTAGTTCGTTTCCTAGCCATTTCCATATTATGAGCTTTATTTCGTGCTGCATTTTTTGCTTGATGAACATCCTTACTTTCTGATACCGATGAAACTAAGAAAAAAAAATCAATATATATCTATATTTAAAACAACATAGATGGTATTGTTATGCATGATATTGAAGCAAAAAGCAATAACTAACATATTTAAAGCTATTTCTGACTTTTAAGATTTGCCAAATTTCCTAGCTATGGATAATAGTTTAATCATCATTGTCCTTTATTACTGAACGAACACTCCACTAAAGATAGTATGTAATTTCTTAAAAAAAAAAAAAAAAAAGAATTTACTTTCCACAGGTTCATCAGCATTCCATGAAATATTCCATTCTCCATCTTCCACTACTTCAGTAGATATCCCACCTGAAAATGTAACAAATTAAGCTGATATTGTTGCTTTAGCAAATTTTAATAGTTCACTGTAATTTTTTCAACTCTTTCAAATTCTCATTCTTCACTTTTCTTATGAGCATAAAAAATTTAATGTATCAGTAATATTTACATAAGAAGTTGAAGAAATTAATAATGAACCTGAACTAACATCGAAATCATCCCAGCCGCTTGTACTGAAATTATCACTCCAACCATCAGTCAGTGTATCACTGCTATTCTTTACAGCAAATGTGTTCCTATTCGTAACTTCATTGTCATCTGCGCTCGACTTAGATTTAATGCCTAACAAACAATTCAAATCATCTTCACCTGTAAAAAATATATTCCATATTTTAAATTATTTGTTACTTAATACTATATCACTTCACTGTGACACATCTAAATATATATTATATCGTCTTAATTACTACAATCGATTTAGAATCTATTTTGCTTTTTCTTTTGAATCATTCTAAAAAAAAAAAAAAGACCTGCAGATTTTAAAAATGGACGTTGCAATTTTAATCCTTTTGTTCCTGATGTTTTCCTGAATGGCTTTGAAGATGTCGTAGTAGATGGTTTACTTTTAGCAGCTATTACCTACAAAAAAAAAAAAAAAAAGTGCATAACACAACTGAACAAATGATTTTAATCCAAATTTTTTGTTAGGTTAAAATAATTTTTAGGTTAAAATAATTGTAAATTTGAAAAATTAATAACCTCTATTTTCAGTAAGAAATAAGCAAGAAATTATCACAAAAATTTTTCCACAGCATTTTTTCTATCATAATGAATACTCTACTGGCTTTTAACTTCACACAAAAACTTGTTATATTCTTTATGTCATAAAATACACATATGTACCATAATTTTCCGTCAATTACGATGATGAAAATTTCAAGAATTATATAAAGTGAACATCTCCTCCTCTGCTAATTCTGCATTTCGAACTTATTCTTACTGATAGATAATAAAACTTTAGTAACATTCATATAAACTCATCGTTTCTTCAATACTTTAGGGCAAAACTAGATTAGCATACCTCTTCTATTACTCATAAAATCATCTTTTTCTAAAATCAAATCTTGCTCCAATCTATTTTTAAGTGTAAAACTCATAATTAAAAGAGAGGTAAAATAGCTGCTTACCAAATAGTCTTGCTTATGAATTTGATTTAAAATTAACAAATTAAATTCAATTTAATTCTTACTTCTCTCTGTTCATTATCATATCTTTCATTGATGTTTGTGGCATTTATTGTTAGTCCATCATTAGCATCTTCCCACTCATCTTCATTTTCTGCAGCTAAATTATCTTCCAATTCACCCCAACCATCATCATTTGCAAATTTCTCTGGTGCTGTATCATATGATTTTAATTCAGAGGATGTTTTTGTGTTAGATTTTGATTCACAAATGGGTGTTTCTTGCTTAGGTGCTGAGCCAGATTGGTTTTGCATTGAGGAAGAGTAGAATTTGCCTGAAAGTGATTTTAACGCCCAGCTTGCCCATTGTGGCACCTGAAATATATTATCATGTGATATTAACAAGTTGATAAGGCCATATTCTTCGAAAGAGAATATGAATAACCTGTAAATAACGGAAATTACATTTTTAATATTTATTATCTCTCCCAATTAAAATTAGAGAAGGAAGAGATGTCGTAATTATTATTTGATTGATCAAAAATAATAAAAACAGTTAGTAGTATTGAGAAAATAATAATAATAAAAAAAACCTTGTCACTACTTAGCAAACCGCTTTTTCCACCAGCTTTAACTTGTGATTCCAGTTCTGCTATCAGTTCTGGATTTTCACTAGCTTTTTCCAGCTTTTCGATGAATCCATGTAGTGCTTTGAAGCTTTGATCTCTGACCTGAATGTATATTACTTTGCTTTAAAAAAAAAAAAAAAAATCAGTGTCAATAATATGTACACTAAGTAATAAAAATAAAAATGTAAAAATGTGAAAATGCCTCATGGTAATAGCAACAAGCAATCTAAACAAACTTTCGATGTAGATCAAACTAATTCAATCAATCAATGAAAAAAAAAATCAATCAATCTCTACAAAATTGTGTATGTTATGAAAGTTTGCGTGAAACTTTCAATATATATTTTGTATCATTTTGCAATTTTATCTAACTATGATGAAATATAGTAAATGGAATGTATGTAGCGAATTTAGTGGAAAAAATTAAACACAATTTGTTTGCGAGATTAAATAACAAAATTTTACTAATCTTAATATTTTATTAAAATCTTATATTAAATAACCTGCTTTTCCTGATCACATGTCACTGGTGATAAGGCTGGTAATATACGATTTGCAACTTCAATTAATGAGTAATACTGTTGCGTAGCACTAAGTGCTAGAATAGCTGCCATTCTAGCAGGAGGAAATGGATCTTTGAGTGCACGAGTGAAGGCACTAATTAGAATTTGTTGACGATGACTTGGATCAATGTAACAACCAATTTTACCGAGGCAAATTGTTGCATTTGTTCGAATACCTGGTTGATCATCTGCGCCTGAATGCATTTCAAATAATAGAATCAATGCATTCTAAGATTTTTGGACAAATCAAATTATTTAGGACAAAAAAAGGAAATCGTTCTTTAAAAGAAGTTATTGTTGAGATTATTAAGAGAGGATAATTTGGAAATGGAGAGTTTTTTTTTTTTTCCAGTCAAGAAATAAAGCTAAGGATCAATTTTTTATGCGTTTTATTTTTACATCACAT